ACACACACACACACACACACACACAAACACACAGGAAAAGTCTGCCAGAATTTTAACAGGAATTACATCTGGGTGGCAAGATGGTGGTTGTTCTTGGTTGCTGTCATGTCGATTGCGATTCTTGGCAACCCCATGTGTGCAGAGTAGAACTGCTCCATAGGGTTTTCAAGGCTGTGACCTTTTGGAAGCAAATCGCCATGTCTGTCTTCAGAGACACCTCTGGGTGGGTTTGAACCACCAACCTTTCAGCAAGTAGTCAAGCACTTAACTATTTGTGCTACCCAGAGACTCCTTGGTGGTAAGATTATGGGTGCCTTATTTTCTTTTTTTGTGAGAAATAATAAATATTTATTAAGCCACAGAGATTTGGGTAGGTTGTTACACAGCAGAAGCTTACTGATAATAAACCTCACTACAGTCCTATGAGGTGGGCACTGATATTGCTGTTTCATGGAAAAGTTGAGGCACATGAAGGTTAAGTAACTTACCCACAGTTATACAGTAAACAAATGATGGAGACAAGGATTTGAATCCAGGCTCTAGTACTGATGCATATTTTTTTGGTGTCGGATCTGCTTAACTAGAAAATGTGTGTAGTGTTTTCTCAGTTAAAGAACCTGAGGGTTTTCTATTACTTTAAAAGAAAATGAGGGTGGAGAGGACATAGGAGAACTAGAAGTCCCGGGAAAAAAAATAATTCACCAGGTTCATCAAAAAGGAGTACGTAAGTTAAACAATGACAACATATTGAGGTGATTGTCAGAAATAGTAACTCTCAGTCTGTCAGTCAACTACAAGACCAATAGTCTGCAGGGGCTTCTAGGTGACCCACCTGCCAGTCCATGGAGCTATTAACATGTACGATATTACAGTCTGGCATGAATGTATTTATTATATTCCTCTATGAAATGTTATCAAAATGTCTCACTTCTTCATATTCACTTTTTCTTTCCTTCTTATTTGGTGGTGGCAAGTGAGAGGGATTTATTACCATGCCATAGTCCCTAGGCCCAAGATGTTTGAGACCCACAGCATCCAAGTATACAGCAGAAGCAAGAAGTTCCATGATCATTTAAAAGATAGCGGTGGGAATGTTGTAAAGCACAGGCACCACATACAATGCAGTTATACTGTAAAGGGGAAAAGGAGAAAGTTTTGATTTACTGAGCTGTGATTCCATTGAGGGTTTTTGGTGATTCCAGCTTCACACTTGTGGTTATAGTATTCTCAGAACTCCTCAATGGAGTGAGTCCCTGAAATGCACAGCTGTCTCTTATTTATTTTATTAACTTTACATAAAAACCATGGGAGCACAGGTTTTACAGTACTTGACTATGATTGGCCTTTGCAAGCTTGGGATGTAAGGGTAAAAAACAAAATGCAATAAGAATAACATTAAAAAAACTAAAACACAAAAGAATGATAAGTCGACTTTTTGCTTGGGGTTATAAGTTAGCAGTGAAATTTCTTCAGACTAGTATATGATAATTGATTATATATCAAAACAGATGAAAAGCCATATTTTGTACCCTGAAGGACAGTTGTATCATGTACAAACACCTAGTCTAAATGACAAGGAAATTGCTGGACTTCTTAATTATAGCCTTTTTTTTTTTTTTTTTTTTT